GCCACCACCACCAGAACTCCATAGAGCTTGGCTCCCAAAGGCCGCCCCCCACCCCGAGCTGGTGGCACTCCGTTCTGGGCACTCTCTGGGGACGCGCCCAGAACGGGGTGCCACCAGCTCAGGGAGGGGTGGCGGCCAGCCCCCCTACCTGGTGGTAGTGGTTCTTTATCCTGTGGTGCGACGAAGGGACGGCCTGCTCAGAAGACGGCGGGACTTCTCAGAAACCCTCGCGCCTTCCGGGAGGTTTCCTGTGTCTTCGGGGACAGCTAGAACAACAACTTCTCCCAGTGTCGGAGGACCTCTGGGCTTAGGTCGGGCAGGTACCCCTACAGGCGGATTTTGGACGAAAAATTGTCAAACATATCTTAAAACATCGCCCCCCATACTATTGTTTTACTATTTTTGACTCCTCCTCCTGTAGAGGGACGTGCCCGAGCTAATCCTGGGCCTTCTGAGCAGGCCCGCCTCTCCTCGCTCCCCCCGCGGGCGCGCACCCGAACCTCGGCGTCGAGGTCGCCGCCCTCTCCTGCGCGCGCAGCCACGCCGGCGCTGGGGGCCGGCCCGACCCTGCGCGGGGGAGCGCCGAGGCGCTGCCGTGGCCCCGGTGCCCCCGGGCACCGGTGAGGATTGGAAGCTATGGGCGAGGGCTGCGAAAGCTGGCACTTCCGTGGCTGCTAAAGCGGTCTTCCCGGAAGAAAACCACAAATGCCCGGAATCCAGCTCAACGCACTGAATAGTAAATCACGGGCTGCTTCCCGGAAGAGGAAACAATCTCCCAGAGCTCCGTTTTAGCAGCCACGGGTTTGCCATCCGTCGCCCGGCTTCTGAGAGGAGTGAAGGGGAGGCAGGTGCGAACGCTGGGCTGAGGAAGCCGCCCCTGGCCGAGGCCACGCTGCAGCCGGACCTCGGCCAGAAGAGCATCCCTCCAGAACACGAGAGCCTCCGTCGGCCAAGGCACAGAGAACATCCAAGGGTACCCTCCCCAGGATGCACAAGAATATCCAACAAACACGAATAACACCAGGGTGCCCTGCCCGGACCGACCTCGATCTGATATCTCGGTCCAGCTGTAACAGCGCTGTTGGGTAACAACGACGTTGGGAATCCAGCTGTTGCGACACCGAACACGCGCATAACAAATGGTAGTACCACAGGAACACGCCTTCCGTACAAGTGGGACGGCCAGGAACCACCCCACATCTATAATACCGAAACATACATCGCCGCTACCTGCATCGCCGTTGGCGTGTCAACGGTCAAGGCCAACCTAGAGTAGAAGAATGACAAACGCCATAAACATCAACTTTTGGCGCTCAGCGCGGATTTCTTGGATTTGCGCTGGACCCCCCTCCCTGGCGCGCGGAGCGCGCCAGGGGCGGCGCAGGAGGCGCCGCCAGCGGGGCTCAGCGCGGATCAAAGAACTCCGCGTGGAGAGCCAAAACTCTATGTATATGTCTTTTGCTTCTTCGATACATCGCCGTTAGCATGTCTGCGGTCAAAGCCAACCTGGACTGCGGCCGGCCGGCATGACCTGCGGCCAGCCCCCCAGCGGTGATAACCTGCGGCCAGCCCCCCACTTCGAGCACCGCGCGCCCCCGCAGCCACCGAGGACGGCCCCAGGACGGCCCTAAAGGGCTCCCCCGACGGCCCCAAAGGGCTCCACCAAGGGTGGGTGGGTAAAGGTGCCGGCCGCATACTTGGAACCTTAAAGGGCCCCGAAAAAAGCCAAAATGATCCAAGAAGGCACCCGGAACGGTCCAAGGGAGCTACGAGTCGACGGGGGATCGTTCTACAACGCAAGACGCCCCAAAAAGCCACCAAGACGCCCTCCATAAACAAAAATCGCCCCCTTCCCTACGGACAAAAAAAATACTTTAAACACATTCGCGCCTTGGCCTTTCACGAGGCCCACAACGGCCCAATAAGCGTCCAAGAGCGACCCCTGATGCCCCTAAGAGGCCCCCAGTGAAGCTCCAAGACGACCAGCGAGGGCCCCACGAATGTCCCAGAAACAACCGCAACGGCCCAGGAGAGCCGCAGGACGGCCTCAGGAGGGCCCCACAATGGGCCAAGAGGGTCCCCAAAGGCCTCCTGGACGGCCTTCGAAGTACACGAGTCGTCGAGAGATTGCTCCAAAACGCCAGATTGCCTCCTGGCGGTCTTACAGGCCCCCAAGACGCCCCGAGAAACCGCCCTGAGACGTCCCAAGAGGTTTTCCAGAAGCAAAAAGCGATTCATTTTCTATAGACAACAGACATTTCCAGCACGTTCGCCTCTTCGGCTTTCACGAGGCCCAAGAGGTCCCACAAAGCTCCCCCGACGGCTCCAGAGCGCGAGCTACGACTCGTGAGGAGATCGCTCCCAGACGCCCGCCATTGCCTCCACCTCACCCCTGAGGCCCCCTGGACGCCCCAACACGCCACCAGGACGCGTCCCAAGAGGCCCGGCGTAACCAAACCTCGGCCCCTCCCCGAAGGGAGACGTCTGATTTCAACACATTCGCTTCTTGATCTTTCACGAGTCCCACAGCAGCCCAAAAAGCCATCCAAATTAACCCAAAAGCCCCCGCATGCCACCAAGACGGCTCCCAGACGGCACGAACTGGCCCCAACAGGGCCCCCGAAACCACTGGGGGGAGCCCCAGGACGGCCCCAAGAGGAGGGTGAGGAGGGAAACCCGAAGAGAGAATTCGAGCACTTCGCCCCGAGAAAACTCGAAAGGACGCCTGAACGCACCCAAGAGGCCCTGACAGGGATCCACAATGTCCCAGAATGAGGGACTTGGAGGCGGCCCTTCGACGACGAAAACCACGGAAAAACACAAAAAGCAACTAAGAATCTGCAGCACAATTCTTTCCTTTTCCCCGAGCAGAAATCGTGCACAATGGGCCCCCGCGGACCCTTCCCAGAATCCAGCCGCAATCGATTACCCAAACGCATCCAGCCGCGGCGACAGGGGAGGGGCCCAGAACCCCCCCAACCACAACAAACCTCCCGAGTCCGACGGGCTACTTCGCGCAAGCTCGGTCCGCTGATGCAATTTCTCGCCGCAGGTCCGTCTGGTTTCGAAAGTCCTGTGCCAAGCAGCGGCCCCCGGATACCGAAACCTATCAAAAACAAAAGCTGCTCAAACAAAAAAATATGGAAAGGCGGCCGGAACTGCCGCGGGCATATACCTCGATCAAGAAGAAGGAGATCGAGCGAGGAGGAGGAGGAGGAGAAAGAGGAGGAAGAGGAACACAAAAGAAGAAGATTTCGTCGTCGCCGCCGATGTCTCACAGATTTTCGTGGTTCTTCGACCACCCGAATTATCTCCTCGAATTCAGCCTACAGGAACCGTTTTCGGTGCCTGGGACCACCACCGAGGGTCCGGGGTGAGGATCGACCTCCCTGGCGGGTGCCTCCCCTTCGCAAAGGAAGGACCACGGGGTGGATCAAGGCTCGAGACATGAGACTCTTAGTTCTTTGGCGCTCTCCGCCCCCTCTGGGCCTTCAGGAAGCTCCTCGTCGACACAGCTGGGTCCACTCTCGAACTTCTGGCCGGACGCACCCCCAGCTGGTTCTCAACGATCCCCGAGCCTATCCAGGGGGTGGAAAAGGAGGCCTGGAACAGGCCCCGTGACGGCCCCAAGCAACCCACATAAGACAACGAACAACTTTAAAACAATCCCCTACAAGGCCCACCCTTGAACCCCACATGCTACGTAAGTCAGGCCGAAAACCCAAGATTGCCGAGCGATCGCGCGCGTTCCGCGAACTCCGTCTTTCACTCTTGCTGCCGCCCCAAGGGTTCGGCGGTGCGGCGTAGGCCAATGAATCCCTTATTAAACGTCCGCAGGGTCTGGTTTTTTTAAGGCGCCCTTTTTGTAATTGGGGGGGTCCGGTTGATTAGGGCGCTTTCCCTGGATTGGAGTTTAGGGGTCCGGTTTATTAAGGCGCCCCATCGAAGAGGGGGGTCCAGAATACTAGGTCGCATTTGGAGGGGGCCCCTTTTTTTAGGGGGGTCGATTAACAACCACATTTTTGGAATACACAACCACATTTTGGAGTAAGTATGTGACAAGTGAGTTTTCGTAGATGCAGATCCAGAATGCCAGTCGCTGGAACAATGACCCAGCGCGTGGGGCACGCGAAGTAGCTGCGCGCAGCCCCCTCCATGAACGACTCGCCCTGGACACCTCGAATGCGTCAAGTTCGTGTCGTGCCGACTTCGGCGTCGGTTTTTCTAACACCGCGCGGGTGGTTCGAATGATCGGTCGTTTCCGAAACGTCCAAATCGTTCCACATCGAATGGGACGCATGGAGACACACTGATAGTATATGTCCTCCTTGGAGGCGCGCGTCCGACCCGAACATCTATTATACCCATCCTGTAGTATATCGTTTCGCGGGCGGTGTGGCCAGAAAGCGCCCGCCACGACGCATCTACTACAAGATTTCTCGGTGGGCGAGTCGCCCCTGCGGGGGCGACGCCCATTTAGTATAAGCATGTTGGGGTGACGCCGATTCAACAATCGTGGGTCGCCCGCGGCGTACAAAGTTGAACGCCGCCGGCGGGGTCTCCGCCGGTCGACAAGACACGAACCTGTACCGTACCTGTCGTGCGCGCCGACAGCTGCGCTCCCCTCCCCGTCCGCATGGCATCCGTGGGGCAGCAGGAGGCGACTGCAGCGCGGGCAGGGCCCGGGCGGTCATTCGTTCGCACAGTGCAAAACCCATGCCAACGGGGGGAAAAGCAACGAACACCCCAGGCCCAGCCCCAGTGGGGGAACGAAGGGACACACACACACATAAAAAGACCCCCCCGGCGGCGCCTCTGGCGCCGCCCCTGGCGCGCTCCGCGCACCAAGGGAGGGGGTTCAGCGCCGATCCGAGAAATCCGCGCGGACCTCCGAGTTTTTATGTTTATGCCATTTTTCGCTTTCCTACCTTGAGCAGGGACCGACCGTCCCGGCATTCCTATAGGCCGACCACGACATGTTCTTAGAATCCAGACATGTTCTGAGGATAAAAACAAATTGTCTTAGAACATGCACCTGGTGCATTAAAACATACCAGTCTCGGCAAGAAATGCTCTGAGAACACTTCGTGCAAACCACACAAGGTTCTTAGAACACTCTTTGGTGGGCCTATAGGCGAGCCAAGACTCGGCGCTGGACAAACCTCCCTTTCGTAAACCTCCCCTTAGCGAAAACGGCCCGGGACCGAAACCGACGGACCTGGAGCCGCAAAAATGACGGCCACGACGCCCTCTCGCGAACCGAAAACGCCTAATTCCTTAATCGACGTGTCAGGGTAGGAGGTCTGTCCACCTCCGAAAGACGCTTCGCCACTGCTTGACTACCCGATCCCTGCATGGGCCGCATCTGGCATCAAAACCCAGCGCCGCCTCCACGCAGGCCCAGCGGCCCAACTGCGCACCTGCCCACCTCTGAGGGGGCCCTGGGACACACAAATAAATACATACAAATTCGCCGGCCCAACGGGCCAGGGCGTGCTAAGATCTCCGGTAGCTGGTTAACAGTATTAACAGTATTTCTAGTTCGCGCGCGCGGGGCGGCCCCTGGGGGTCCCCCGGCGAAAAGTACCCCGACCAACGCCCGGCCGCCGCCCGACCAAGTCTACTCAGAGATGGTTTTCCTTCTGGGTGCGGCCTCTCAGGCTCCCCAGAGCGCGCTCAGAGTGCCCCAAGAGGCCCCCAAGACTGCCCAAGAGGCCCCCGAGACGCCCAAAGAGCGCTCGAAGACGCCGAAGATGACCCCAAGACGGCCCAAAAGGCCCCCAAGACAGCCCAAGAGGCCTCCAAGACGCCCCAAGAGCCTTCCAAGAGGCCTCCGAAGAGAGCCCCAAGAGGCCAAAATCGTTGATTTTCATTGGTTGTTTCGATGTTTTTTGTGTTCTGGCTTTTTCGGCTTCCGGACGCTCCAAGACGGCCCAAGAGGCCCCCAAGACCGCTCCAAGACGGCCCACGAAGCTCCCAAGACGGCGCCGAAACGACCCAAGAGAGCCCTCAAGACGGCCCAAGTGCCGCCCAAGACGGACCAAGAGGCCCCAAGACGGGCCCAAGAGGGACTCAGGAGGGATACCGAGAACTCAAAAATGGAGCCCTCCGTCCCAGAAGGCGCCCAGGAGGTCCCAAAGAGGCCCCAAGAGGCCTCCAAGAGGCCCCAAGATGTCGCCAAGAGGCCCCAGGAGACTCCCAGGAGGCCCAAAAGAAGCCCCAGAAGGCTTCAAACATGTCTCCCAGGCGCCCCCGAACGGCCTCTCAACAGACCCCAAGAGGCCCCCCAAAGAAGCATCTTGACGACGACTCTATTTCGCCCCATCGAGAGACGACCCCCAGGGAACTGCTTCACCATCAAAACTCCCCACGCAACGCGTCCGAACGACACCCGCCCCCAAGAGCGCAACATGGGCAACGAACACACAAACAAAAACCAGCGATGCCATATCACGGGCCGGCGGAATGAGCGAAGCGATTCAATAACAGGATTCCCCAAATTTTCCAATATGTTCTTGGTTTTTGTCTTCCCCCCCACTTCCCATATTTTCCCATATTGTCCTGGGAGTCGACGATTAATTCTGTCTGTGTGTTTCTTTCCCTCCTGAACCTCCAGCGCAAGCCCAACTGGCCTGAGACAAGTGCCACTGGCACCAGTTGAGCAGGGCCCGACCGTCCTGGCATTCCTACAGGCCTACCACGAACCCAAAAAGTTCGAATAACAAGAACACTGTCCTTAGAACAGACCAGGCGCGTTAAAACAAGACAGTCTCGGCTGTTCTAAGAACATTTCGTGCAGACCACAACAGGTCATCATAACATTTTGCGGCGGGCCTATAGGCAAGCCAGGACGCTTCGCCACTGCTCGAACCAGCTCGCTCCACGCCCAGCCTGCGGCTGAACCCAGCCTGGCCCTGGACAGGCTCTGCCCGCCCGGCTCCGGGTCTGCTCCCCCGCGGACTTTTACTTTTCTCGAGCCTATTTGAGACAGGAGAAAAATAGGCCCCTGCAAACAGGGTGTTAGTAAACGGAATGGTAGCTAAGGGGCCTCTGCGAGCGAATATAGGGCGACAGGGCATGTACCTCGCTCTAGTGCGTGATAGATCGGGGCAACAAAATCGTCGATACATCATCATACCTCTGGGCGGGGGGGATTACCTCGCACTTGCGCGCGGCAAATAAATTCTTTACATCCTAAGAGGTTTTTTTTCTCTGCACACTTCTGCGCAGGACTTTCTTCCTCCTCCTCCTCCTCCTCCCCCTCTCCTCCACCTCATCACCATCACCACCCTCTTCGACATTCATCATCACTGTCACTCACTCACTCACCCACTCATCATCAGCATAAGCATCAGCAGCATCATCATCATCATCATCATCATCATCATCAGCATCAGCATCAGCATCAGCATCAGCATCAGCATCAGCATCATCATCATCATCATCATCATCATCATCACCATCATCATCATCGCCATCAGCATCATCGACATCGCTCGCACACTCACTCACACTCATACACTCACACACTCATACACTCACACGCTCAAACATTCATCTTGAGGAAAACTAAGGCCAGAGACTCGTCTGAGTGAATTGCGAGGAAGTCTCAGGCGGGAGCCCCCTCCCTGTGGGCCTATGGGGCCCGCACTTCATGTTGGTAATTCGAGCGGGTCATCCAAAACCTATAACTGTCGTCACTTTGGGGCCCCTGAGGCTTGAATATGGAGCAGGTATCAAGCGGGAGCCTTGTCTGGGAGTGAATTGTGACGCCGCGGCTTGCGCGGGCCGCCAACGCGTCACGCTGCATTGGGAACGGGGGCGCTTGCTCGCGACCTCAAGCGGGCAACGTACGCACGAATGTCCGCGCAATTAAACATTCTTTTCTGTGTCGCTCAGCTGCCGGACGGGGCCCCGGTGGGTCCGCGCCAAAGGTCATGCTGGCGACGTGGCCACTCGCACGCGTGGCTGAGGGGTCTCTGTGCGGCCTCGGGAGGTCTCCTGGCGCAGACGCTCAGCCGACGACCCCCGCTCCTCCCCCGACGCACAAGGAGGCTGAACTCGACGGAAGAACAACGCACGCTCAAAACGAGAGCGGGAAGAAAGGCGAAGGGCAAGGCGATGAAGGCGCGATGGGTCTGCGAGCCAATTGTCGAAACCGAGGGGGGCTCCGTTCGAGCGGGCAACCCCCATCCAACACAACACACCCATAGCCAATAGCCTCGCTGGAATTCCGAGCCGAGAATCCCTGGGTATGGATGCTAGCTTTGCGCGCTCACGGGAACTGACGCCCTGAAGGGGGAACGATATGGCGGGACTTGCTCGGGCGGATGGACGGTGACTTGGAATTGCCGATGCAGCGACGACAGATCGGCGACGCGCCCTCGACGGCGAACCCCGCAGGTCCCTGGGCGGCGTGGGGCGATCGGCGAGGACCGAGCCACCGGGAGTCGGTGCTTTGCCCCCCCTGAACAATTCCCCCCACTGTCTAGGGAGCCCACGAAGGACGTACGCGCCCAACGATGTACATGAACACGGCCCCTCGATCCGCGACTGGCCGCGTGATACAATCATTTGCGCAATGCGCACTCTCGAAACATGCGTGGATTCATGTACATGTACGTTCTTCTTTCGCTCCTGACTGTCGGCGAGCGCTGGCTTTCGGGTCATAGCTCGGCTCTTGCGGCTGTGCAGGACGATGCGGGCACCACCAGAACGCTTAGAGGAAAGAGAACTATCCACATACACCGATTCTGGCCAGGCCCAACCCTGAGCCCAGGATCGGTGCATACGCCCTCTTACCTTGGCCAGGATGGTATGTGCACCGATCCTGGGTCAAGGATGGGCGTTGTCAGGATCGGTACATGTGCATTTAGTTCTCTTCGCCCGAACGCTCCAGGCGAGGCGCCGCTGCTGAAGAGCTCCCCGAGGCTGGCGAACGTCTCCGGCCCCCCGCCCCGTGAGCCCGGCCCCGCCCAATGCTGCCCCTGCAGGAGGAGCGTCCTCGCCCCTCCCTGCAGGGAAAGTCCTCGCCCCTCCCTGGAGGAACACCAGACAACATAGACATACTTTCGGGGAGCTCCGCGCGGATGTCTTGAAACTTCGGCGCCGGAGGCGCTGCCAGGGGGGCCCGGCGCCGATCCGAGAGGTCCGCGCGGAGCTCCGAGAAGTTAGGCTCAAGTCGGGCCTGTCCCTCTACACGGGGACTCTTCAAAAATCGTCCAGAGCAATCTGGAGACGATATTTTGAATATCTTGTTGACTATTTCGGAGCATTTGTGAAATATTTTCAATGTTTCGCCCAAAATCCGCCTGTACGGGGGCCATGCCCGACCGAAAGTTAGGCTTGCGCCGCTGTCTGCTCTCAGGCTCCCCTCCAGGAAGCCCCGAGCAGGGCGCGGCGAGGCGAGGCGCCAGCCGCCCCTCCCACAGTCGCCGCCCCTGCGTTTAGGTCGGGCGTGTCCCCCTACAGGCAGATCTTGGAGGAACAAAAGGAAACACCCAACAAATACTTAAGACATACTTCAAACTAGTAGAAACATCGTCTCCAGACTATCGTTTTACCATTTTTCAAATATTCCGCATGTAGAGGGACGTGCCCGACTTCACCCTGCGTGCTGCGACCTCCCCGTGGGCGGTCCTTCCTCTTCCGCGCCCTCCACGCCGCCGCCGTCCTCGTCGTCCTCACCCGGAGCGCCCTCGGCCTGGGGCGGGGCGGGAGGGAAGGGGAGGGCAGCGGGGAGGCGGGAGGGATGAGGAGGAGGAGCAGCAGGGCCAGCGGCATCGTGCCGTCGAGACGTGGCCACGAGAGCACAGATCAAGGGCGTGATGCCCCTCGCCGAGGGCCCGGCAAACCATTGCGGGGCCGGATGGTCGGGCCCAAACGCGACGGAGAAAGCATGAGGCTAACCTCCCGTAGCAAGTCATGGGAGCCGTGCATACCCTCGCAATTCCGTCTTCAGAGTGCACTCGAGTCGACCGGCGTCTTGCAGTCGACGAGATAGCGCCGATTCAGGGTCGATTGGCGTCGAGTCGCAAAAGCCAACAGGATAGTGTGGGAGGCTCACACGAGTTGCCACGGGGCTCCCCCGTCCAAAGATGCCGCTGACCTCAGCCCCCGTGCAAGCTGCAAGGAGCAGCAGGAGCAGCAGGAGCAGCCGCGGCGGGCAAGGTGGGCAGAAGGGGGCGGCGCGCGGTCGAAGCGGTCTTGACTACCTACCAGACCACCCCAACCCAACCCGAAGACCCGAATTTCGGGTTGGGGGGGGTCTGGGCTCCATATGTGTTTTTTCGATGTTCCCGGACCCCCCCCCACTAGAAATCGAGGGTAAATCTGAGCCTTCGGGTTGGGTTGGGGTGGTTTGGTGGGTGGTGAGGTCTTGCTGCAGGGCGCCGGAGGCGGGTAGCTCGCAGCGACCCCGTTGGCGTGCTACTCCTGAGGGAGTGCAAAGCCCCTATTCGGAAGACGAACGGACCAGCCTGGGAAGCACACTGCGCCCCCTATCAAGGGAAATCATGCAACGCTTTCGGTACCGGCACTGGCACGCTTGGAGGGTGGGGGGAGAGTTGCGCGAGCTTCGAGCGCAAGGGGCGCTGTCCACCATTGCCGGAGCGCTCCCCAACCTATACGAATGCGCACCTGCTTGGATCCAGGGAGATCCCTTTGGGATGACCTTGGGTTTTTGTTTTGTAGATTCCTGTGAGGCTCTTTCACCTTTCTTTTTAGATGTATGTCGGACCCTTTTTGATTCCCATTTCAAATTCCCTTCAATTCCCCTTCAACATCATTAATGACTCGGTTGTGGTTCATTTGTGACTCCTGTGCGTGCTGGACCGCCACGGCGACCACTGGGGCCAATGATTAATCGTATGCTTAATATGTGTGCTAACATATCGCGGGGGATGTGATATCGTCTGCGAGATTATTCCGTGGACTCTCTCCTATAGCATTCCCTGAGAAATCAAATTCCTGCATTGGGCTTACTTTAATCACACTGTTTACATTATGCTGCGCCCTCTAGCGATTACCCATCAGTGCCTTCGGCTTCTGAACGAAATATTGCGGCGTCGTACTGATCTCAAGGGCATTCCTATGACTTCCTGATTTTTCTATGCGTGCATGGCTTTCGCATCGAGACCTTCGATTATTCCTTACTCCTTCCCTGATGGCAAGATCCCAGGGCGGCGCAGGCAATTAACGTTTCTATGTTCTGTTACATGTGCAGACAATAAATGCTGGGAGCCGCCGCCGCAGCACATGCCTGTGATTGTTATGTAACATATACGTATCGCCAAAGGTGTCTTCCAATTTGCTTGCAAGGGGAAACACAGACACTTCGAAAAGACGAGGCCCGTGTCACTGACATTCCTCCCCCCTTCAAGAGCCCCTTGCTCCCCAAAGTGGCTTTGCATGTTCAGCCGTGTCCACTGCAGGGAAGAATCTCTGGAGCTCCGCGCCTCTTCTGGACTCGATTTCGACCCTTGCGTCGATGCCCGGCTGCGCGCTGAGCGAGCGGAGAATGCAAAGGAGGGATCTGCAGATGACCAGAGAGGGGCCAAGACTGGTGGGCGTGGGGCGCAGGAGAGAGGGCCCTTGGATTATGTTGTCCCCATCCTACTTAAGGACCACGTCCAAGAAATGATTTCGCGCGCCCGAAAAAATGTCAAGAGAATGTCGAAACAGTGTCGAAACAGTGTCGGGCGAGTGTCCCCCAGGGCCCGACACGTGAAAACCCGCGAGTTTCGGTACTTTGTTCTGGCGCTCGAAATTCTTTCTGGTGGTCGAGGCTTGCTGAAAAAAGGTTGGAACATCATAACCCTTGGATCTACAATTGAGCAGACTTCCGCTAAGAGGTCACATGGTGAGTGAGCGGGAGGGGAGTGGGAACGATTGTGCAGCCTCGTTCGTCGGGACCATGTGCACATCCGTGTCTCGGAGCACGGGCCGCGCGAGTGCGTGCTGCCTGGCGGAGGTCTGCGCAGGGGCCTTCCTGCCAACTCCCTGCCTCTGCGTATTCTCGTCCCTTTGTTCTCCTTCTTACTCTGTCCTCCCGCTCCACTTCATCATCCTTCATCCTCTCCTCCTTGTCATCATTCTCGCGCACGCTCCCCCCCTTCCTACTTCTCCTCATTGTCCTCTCCATCATCCCTCCTCCTTCTCCTCCTCGCCTCCATGCTCACCATCTGTCTATCCTCTTCCTAATCTTAAGTCGGGCATGTGTCCCTCTACAGGACACATATTCAGAACTAGTCCACCAATCTTATGGGGAAATGTTTACTTGTACGTCTTGGATATGTTTGGAATTTGCTTTACTATGATTTTGTTTGTCCTCTAACATCCGCATGTAGGAGGACATGCCCGACCTAATCCGAATCCTCAGTCGTCGTCCCTCCTCATCCTCTCACCGAGCCTCCTCTTGCTATCCTACGCCCTCCTGAGTCTCTCCCTCGTCCTTCCCCCTCGCAGTACCGCCAACTGAAAGAGCCGGAGCCGACCCGCACCGAAGTACTATACTCAAAACCGATCCCGGCATCAACATCAACAAAAAATCCACAAGCGCCTCCCGCCACTTACGCCCCCTCTTCCGCCGAATTGCTTCCCATCCTGGGCCTCGTGATGCTCCCTACCCTTTCTCCTCAGCATACTCTGCTCGTCCCCTCTCCTTCCTCCATCTCCGCCTCAACCTCCTCAAAGTTTCCTTCTCCGCCTCCCCCTCCTCATGTGACCAGTCCTGTGTGTACAACTCTCGACAGTAGGCGGACAGGATTTGCCCTCACAGTACGCACCCGTGGCTCTCAATAGGCCAGAGCTCCACCCAAGTAGATGCAAAGCAAATGCATCTAGCACATGCTTGCAGTCTTGGAAAAGCTGTGCCAGTTCCAGCGCGACGCAGCGTTCCGCGCAGAGATCAGACCTCGCGCACTCGCTTTGGGCGTTCCCGGCAGGGTGATGCACGCTTTGGGCCGAAGTGGCCGCCACACGGCGCGACTCCTTTGGGAGACCCCAGCCCCAGCACCTCCCCTCTTCCCGACTGGGCTCAGGCAGACATCGCTCCCTGCGACAAGCAGCAGTGGCCCCAGGAGGAAGAGCACAGAGGAGAAGGGAGGGGCAAAGGGAGGGGCAGGAGGAGAGAGGGTGAGGAGGGTCGTGGGAGGAGGGCGGAGGAGGCGATGGCCTCTGCGAAACTCCCACGAGGATGGCGAAACGCCCAACACGGGCAAACTGTCGGCTCACGCGGCCGCCACTCGCGAGCCGACCCGCCGCGCAGTGTGTTTCTGGCGGCCGTCGCACATCTGCGCACAGGCTGACGTCGGACAGCGCGCTGCTCAAAGCGGGCAATGTGTGGCAATGTTCGATACGACCTCCGAGGAATTTGTCCTCCCTTTTTCATCCGCCTGGTCTTCATTCTCATCCTCCGCGTCGTCGTCTTTACATGTCCTTCCCGGGCACCCCGCAGTTATCCATTTTCCAAGGGGCCCTTCTCATAACATTTGTCGCAATATGACGCCTCTGGCGGGCCCGTTACTCACCGCCCCTCCCGCCCCTCGGTGGTCACGTCACGATGCGCGCTGGCGCCGCTTGGGAATTAATCATTCCGACGCGTTCCCAGACGGCGCAGACGCGAACCGCGACGTGATCGACCCCGTCCTAATCCTCCCTACCCCCGCCGCCGGTCACGCCCGGCATCGCCACTAGACAATAATAAAAAATGTCCTGCGGTGCACCCATCCTCCTTCCCGCCCAATCGCACCCGACGTATGGCTGGCGGGCGACGAGGCCACGAATCCGGGAGGCTCTTGCCGACATGCACCCCGGAACAGACAGACTGGGAGTTCAATCTGGTAATGGGCCCGTTCTCCCCGCAGAGGCCCCCAAATGGCGTCCGAGTAGATGGGGTCGGAGCATCGCACCGCCTCGCCGATGCATCGGCGCCGTCGGCGAAGATTCAGTGGGGCCCCACGCCGAACCGCATCGCCGACTGCATCGGCGATGGCGCGCGACCCGCCGACCCCATCGACCTGGGCCCTATCTGGGAGGCATCTATTCGAGTTCGTTTTCTCTGCCTCTGAGGGGAAGGGGCCCCAAGGGTGGGAGGATGGGGGGAGCAAGAGGAGGAGGAGGAGGAGGAGGACAAAGTGGGGGCCCCCGGGGGAGGACATTGCGGGGCCAGACGCGGAGATCCCCACGGGCGCATCTCATGTTCTGACACGTCCCGCCGCGTGCGTCTGGCTGCGGTCGCCTCGGTCGACGGGCGGGCCGACGGCGACGGCGGCGGCTACGATGGGACACAACGACGACGACGACGACGACGTTGCTAACGCCAACAACGACGACGCCGACGCCGACGCCGACGCCGACGACGCCAACGCCGACGACGACGACGACGACACCAACAACAGCCACAACAATAATAACAACAACAACAACAACACCAACAACAACAACAAAAGCAACAGCGAAAGCAACCGCAACAGCAACAACACCAGCAGCAGCAGCAACACCAACACCAGCAACAACCACACCAACAACAACACCACCACCACCAACACCAACACTACCGCAACCACAACCACAACAACAACACCAACAACAACACCAACAACAACCACACCAACAACAACAACAACCACAACCACACCAACACCAACACCAACACCATCAACAACAACAACAGCAACAACAAGAACAACAACAACAATCATAACAACAACAACAGCAACAATAACAACAGCAACCACAACAACAACAACCCCAACAACAACAACACCACCACCACCATCAACAACAACCACAACAACAACAGCAACAGCAACAGCAACAACACCAACAACACCAACAACAACAACACCAACAACAACAACAACAACAGCTGCAGCAGCAGCAGCAACAACAACAACAACAACAACCACCACCACCACCACCACCACCACCACCACCAACAACAACAACAACAACAACAACAATTACAACAACAACAACAACAACAACAACAACAACAACAACAACAACAACAACAACAACACGCGAACAACACGCGAACAACACATGCGAACAAGCAGTGACAAACACCTCCTCTGGTTCCCTCCCTCTGCCAGGGCGGGCCTGGAAACCGCAGAGACCCTGGGGACCTCGGAGATCGGTCCGGCGCGAGGCCGCCATGGCGGAGCCGGCTGCCGACGGGCAGGTGCAGGCCGTAACGCAACCGGCCGTCCGCACTGGGGCGTCGGGCCGCGCCGGGCGCGGGGCGGCGCGCCTGCCGGGGGCGCGCGCCAGGGGGCCTGGAAGGCACGACGCCGTCCGCACTGTGCCTCGGGCTGACAGCGCAGGGGCCGCGTGCACAGGAGGCCACCGGCGCTGGCGCCGGGTCGGGCTGCTCTTCGGAGCAGGCTCCACGGTGACTGTTAGAGGAAAGAGAACTATGCACATGCACCGATTCTGGCCAGGCCCATCCTGAGCCCAGGATCGGTGCATACGCCCTCCGACCTTGGCCAGGAAGGCGTATGCACCGATCCTGGGTCAAGGATGGGCCTTGCCAGGATCGGTGCATGTGCATAGCTCTCTTCGCCCGAACTGTCCGCCCTGGGCATCGGGCCACGGCAGGCGCGGGCCGCAACTCCTGGTGGCAGCGCGACCCCGAGGCGCCCGCTGCCGCTGCGACCGCAGCCCTTTCTCCATGTGCTCGAAGCTATTGAGGGCCGCCTTCATTGTCTTCGGCGGGCCCCTCTCCAGGAGTTCGCGAAGTGGCGGCCGCGCAAACCAGACGTCAGCCATCTGGGCGGCTCGAAAAAACATTACGTATGGACTCAGCCACCATGCGTCGTCGTCGGTGCCGCGTTGGCCGTGGGGATCTTGGCGCGCGCACAATCGATGGCCACCGCGGCGCGCAGCGCCTGTCCGGGACTCGAAGAGTGGAAAAGCAACCCCCTTGGCGGCTCCGGCTTGGGGTGCCCGAGTGCTAAGCCTGCTATATCATGGTGAGCTTTGGACCGCCAACCGGATGAAGTTCAAGGGCGCCGAAAAAAACAAACCGCCCGAGGCATCCCCACAACCTGGGCGCTAAGTACGAAATTGACTACCCGTTGGCGGCTCCCCCTTTTGGGTGCCCCCCGCCTGCAATATCACGGAATGCGTTGGACCACCAAGCGTCAGAAGTTCGGGGCACCGAAACAAGCAAACTGCCTGAGACACACCCACAGCCTGAGCGCGAGCAGTGGAATGAGATCCCCCCTGTCGGTTCCCCTACAGAGTGTCCACAGGCTACGCCTGCTATATCACGGTGAGCATTGGAGCAGCAAGCGAAAGAAGTTCGCAACGCCGACGCAAGCAAACCGCTTGAAACCTCCCTGCAACGTGGGCGCGACGGCCCCCTTGGGATGCCCAAGTGCTACGCCTAGTATATCGAGGTGAACATTGGACTGCCGAACAAGAGAAAGTCGGGGCTCCGAAACATGCAACCAGCCAGAGATATTTCCGCAACCTGGGCGCGCAAAGTGAAGGGAGATGCCTCCTGGCGGTACGCTTGCTACATCGCGGTGAGCATTGCAGCACCGGGGGAGAAATTCGGGGCGCCAACACCTCAAACCGCCTGTGTAAGACATCCCCGCAAACCGTACTGTGAGTAAGTATAAGTGGGACTGCGCGTGAGTGTGAATAAGTCAGAGTGTGAGTGAGTTTGAGTTCGAGTGAATCTGTGTAGGGATAGGCAGTGGCATGAGTGAAGTCCGAGTGTGACTGAGTCTGAAGGTGAGTGAGTCCGAGCGTGAGTGAGTCTGAGTATGGGTGAGTCTCAGTGTGAGTGAATATGGATTTTGGTATGCTTGGGTGTGAGGGTACGAGGGATGCCGATGTAAGGTGAAGCGGGGGCGCCCGAGAAATAACAATAGCCCCATTGTAGGACATGGTGGGAAAGCACGACGGGAGCCCCAGAACCCATCTTTCCGAAATCATTCCACGGACCAGATCGGTCTGCGATGGGGCCCAGGGGGCCCGAAGCGGGGCGGGAACGCCCGCTGCAGAAGCATAGCCAGGGCCTGGATCTCGGGGAGGAGCGAGGGGAAGGAGGGCCATAGGGTTCGGTCGGGCGTGTCCTCCTACAGGCGGATTTTGGACGACGAATGGAAAGAATAGTCGAACAAAAAAACAAAAAAACGTCCCCGGACGGAGAGAGGCGGGGGGGAAATTGAGCAGGGACAGACCGTCCCCGGCATTTCAAGAGCCTACCACGAACTGTTTGTAGATCCCAGGCATGTTCTAAGAACGAAAACAAGTTTCTTAGGACACATTCCCGATGTGTTGAAACAAGACAATCCCAGCCAGAAATGTTCTTAGAACATTTCGTGGACATCACAAATGGATATAATAAGATTGCGTGGTAGTGCTATAGGCACGCCAGGACGCTTCGCCACTGCTTGGGGGAAGCGGCCCCCCAGCGGCGCCCGCCTCTCGACGGCCTCGGTCAGGGCCGCGGTCTTCCGCCCGAGGCTCGTGGCCGTCCGCACCTCGTGGAGCATGCCCTCGGCGTGGCGCCGGAGGTCCTGCCGGCCAGGCCAGCCCACCGTGCACCCGCTCTCTGCGGAAGCCCATGTTACGGTGTCTCCTCCTCCTCCTCCCTCCTCCTCCGCCCTCCTCCGCCCTCCTTCATCCTCCTCCTCCTCTCCTCCTCCTCCTCCTCCTCCTCCTCCTCCTCCTCCGCCCTCTCCCCTCCTCCTCCTCCTCCCTCCTCCTCCTCCTCCTCCTCTCCTCCTCCTCCTCCTCCTCCTCCTCCTCCGCCTCCTCCTCCTCCTCTCCTCCTCCTCCTCCTCCTCCTCCTCCTCCTCCTCCTCCTCCTCCCCTCTCCTCCTCCGGCCCCCCCTCCTCCTCCTCCGGCCCCTCCTCCTCCTCCTCCTGCTCCTCATCCGCCCTCTTCTCTCCTCCGCCCCTCCAGAGCTCCGCTGCGCGCGCAGCGGGCAGGCCGCCGCCGCCCCGGTGGAGCGGCCGAGGGCTGCGCGCGCAGCGCGCGCGCGTGCGCGCGCGGGAAGTGCGCGGCTCGGCGCACCTGCGTGCGCGCGCGCCGCGCCGCACGCGGAAGGGGGCGCGCACGCCGCACGTGGATGAGGGCAGCTTCGATGAGAGATCCGGGGTCTGGAAGCCAGCCCAGATGGTCTGGTACCGGAAATTTTCGGTAGCGATTTCGACGCACCCCGAATTTCGGTAGCGACCGGATCTTCGTTTGAGGGCGTTGAAATAGCGGATTTCAGAACGGTCTGATACTGGTATTGGGCGCTACATTTCGGTATTTCGGTAGCGACCGATCTCTGCGGAGCGCTACCGGAAATTTTCGGTAGCGGACCATCAGGGAGCGGAAAGGCAATCGTGGATCGGCCACGGCTACCACCGCCACCCTTACCAGACAGGGAAGCCCCCAGGGCTTGAAGCCTCCTGGGCACCTTCCTTAACCAGCGCCCCCACCGCAGTCAGAACGTCGGCAAACTTGCTGCAGATAGCGGCAAGTGGCTGCAAACAGCGCCAGCCGGCCAAAGGAGAACAGAGCACGCACGAGAACGCCAACCGTCCAGCAGACACGCCCGACTCGCCGCGAATGGCCGCAGAACGCCAAAGCAGAACAGGTTGAAAGTCAGGGCTTCCATACATCGGGGGCGAGCAAACACGGATTAGCAATCCATGGATTTGGCGAGCGGTCACCAAAGCCGTGGATCGGGGGAGGTGCCATCCCCGAAGTGCGGCCGTTGCCGCCTCGCTCGGTGGCGGAAATCCGCGATGTCCCATGACGACGGGACCCGTCGCTAATCCACGCCCCCTTAATCCGTGTTTGCGATCGCCTGAACACAGCGGCAAGCATAACTCACCCACCCACTCCCCCTTTTCGTCTCGATGGCGCTAGTCCTACTACTCAGACGGTCAGCGACCTGAACAACCAGCAACCCAGCAGAATACCCTCACAGCAGCAGAGGTGGCGGGGCGGGTCGAGGAAAGGGAGGTCGGCTGTGGGCTACGGGGGCCCGCGGTGAGAGCGCGGCCAAGTGCACATCACACCCATCGGTCGGAAGAGGCACGCAGAAGCATGAAGCGGGAAGGCGTTGAAAGCAGAATGGGCGTCCGCCCGCCCCCCGAGGAGGACGGAACAGGTGAAGCCTCTCGACCACTGAAGTAGGAAGCCACTCGACCACTGAAGTAGGAAGGCGCTACTATGGAAAAGACAACAACCACAGATGAAGAACAAACGCCATAAACATAAACTTGTGGCGCTCCGCGCGGATTTCTTGGATCTGCGCTGGACCTCCCTCCCTGGCGCGCGGAGCGCGCCAGGGGCGGCGCCGGAGGCGGCGCCGGGGGGGCCCCAGCGCGGATCCAAGAAATCCGCGCGGAGCGCCACAAGGTGAAGCCACTCGATCATTGAAGTAGGAAGGCGCTCAAAGCAGACTGGAATCGGGGAATCCAACAATGCCCTGTCTTCAACGACCGATGGGTAACTTAATGTAACTGCCACCCCCCCCCCACAGCAAAAAAAACGTGGCCGTCGGACCAAAAAAACGTAGCCCACACTGCGGCGAGAGAGCAGGACTCCTGAAGCACCGGTGAAGAGATCTCCAGGGGAGACGGCCCGTCGCCGCTGTGGGCCTTCTACACGAGCGCGCTTCACTACTCCCAAGGTGACTACTCGCAAATGGCCTGGATCCCCTGCGGAGGGTCTACGATAAATTGCATCGAAGCAGGCATGTGTTCTTGCGGACGTTTACGAGTAGGCACTTTGCGAGTAGTGGAACGCGCTCGGTGATCCTCTGCTGTCTTTTTTTCATCAATGTAGACCCACTGGCGAACCGCTACTATGGAAAAGACAACAACCACAGATGAAGAACAAACGCCACAAACATAAACTTGTGGCGCTCCGCGCGGATTTCTTGGATCTGCGTTGGACCTCCCTCCCTGGCGCGCGAAGCGCGCCAGGGGCGGCGCCGGAGGCGCCGCCGGGGGGGCCCCAGCGCGGATCCAAGAAATCCGCGCGGAGCGCCACAAGGTGAAGCCACTCGATGATTGAAATAGGAAGGCGCTTAAAGTAGGTTGGAACCTGGGAATCTAAAAATACCAACTTTAAACGACCGCTGGGTAGACCCACTTGCGAAACGCTACTTCGGAAAAACAACAACCTATCAACTGGCTGAGTCTGGCCTTTGCGGCTGGACCCTAGGGCCGTACCAAAAACGACTGGAGACGAAGTGCTGGCACCGGGGAATGGGTCGAGACTTCAGGAGACCCCGCGTTTGAAATCAGCTCATCGGATATCTGGGCGCGCGCTCCTGGCCGGCCTGACGGCCGTTTGCTTTCTTAGAGGACTAGAGAGAAAGAGAGAGAGAGAGCGAGAGATAAAATAATGATGGAAAGAGAGAGAGAGAGAGATGAAACAAACAGAGAGAACGAGAAACGGAAAGAGACAGAAAGAGAGAGAGAGAGAGAGCAACAGAGGCAAGGGAAGAATGCGAGAAGGAACACTTGGACTCACCTACCGTTGTGAATCGGTGCTGGTGACGGTGGGGAAGTGTCACCTGAGATGGAGTGGTACAATGCACCTTCCGATTGCACCTGAAAAGGTGGTTGGCATGCGATCGAGGCATGTCTTGGCCGCCACCCCTGCCAGTCCAAACCTCCAGTGCACATGTCATCCCATGAGCCTCGGATCCTGCCCCCACTCCAGCGTCACGGAGGCGGTGCGACGACTGAGCTATACTAGAACATGCCGTGCCAGACGATCTGACGAGGCGGGCTGGCACCCGGAGGACAGATGAGCTCCTCCTCCTCCTCCTCCTCCTCCTCCTCCTCCTCCTAGGGGAAAGGTGGAGATAGTGGAAGTAGCTTGAGCCACATGCACGCGGCGCGGAGCGGTGACCCGAAGGCGACAGGGGAGGGCGAAGGAAGAGATGGGCGAACAGGGAGCAGGAGCTGGAGAGATGGAGAGAGAAAGCCTGAGAGAGAGAGAGAGTAACTGTTTTCCGAGAACAACCCAACTGAAAACCTCGCGAGCCCACTGCAGAGCACTTCGTGAAGTGGCGGCCGACCTACGCACTGTGAGCACCGCTTGGGTGCGCAGGCCACTCTGAAGAGGCTCGAGCACAAACGACGATGGCACGGAAGAGAGGTGGAGGATAGGATGGGATTTGGATGGTAGGAGGATGAGATGAGATGTGGCCTGCGAGCACCATGCTCCGGAACCGCTCTGCCGGAGCACGGGGGAACGTGCTCCGGCAGAGCGGGAAAGAGAGAGAAAGAAACATGCGCCATCGCTTGGTGGGCACTGGGGGGGCCAAGGTGATCCGGGTGTGATAGCCCTGGGCAAGCCTGGGGCCAGTAACATCGGGGCGGCAATCGCATGTCGATGGTACCTGGATTGTCTTGGCGGTCTGCATTTCGACGTTGGATCGGGCCATACTACAAGCTCGCACCTTCGATCGCAGACGTTTTAGAATGTACACTGTTATGCTGCGGCGATGCATGAACGAGCAAGTAGACCAAGCAAATGCCCAGACAAGGCCAACCATCGTGACACAAAGGACCCCTTCCAAGTTCCTATCGACACGACATGATGAGGAAGGAACCCTTTGAACATCCTCGTGTGCCGATCCTGCTGTTGTTAATGCATGCTACATGTGAACAACTGCGCGCATTTCCGCCCTGATACGACTACGCAACTTCGGTTCTCCAAGGGCACGGGGAGGCGGACAAATCATGTTCCCCTCGCAATTGGGAACCACACGTGCTATGCTCATGCTCGTGGGTGCAGGCAGGGCTCTCACCCAACCGGGACTGCCACCTATCACATTCGAAACCCAAACGGGCCTTCTGAGTACCTTCGATATCCTGGGACTTCCATGCGACTGGCGTGCTCATGCGACTAATGGGATTTCCATGCGACTGTCTTGCTCATGCGCGTGCTTCACGCTAAGGCACGTGCTCGATTTAGAAATCCTCCTGAATGCTGCTTGCACTGATGGGGACCATGGTGCAAAGATGGTGGCGAGTTTTTTCGAAGGCCTCTGGCTTGGCAGCGATCACAGAAAGCAACGCCAAGATGACGGCTGTGTGAAACTCCGTCGCCGCAAACCAACACGAACATACCAAAAAACAAGAAGGGGGGAGCATGAACTACTGCTGGAGAAAGTCAGCCACTGGCAGAATTGCTTCCAGACATTTCGCGGGGCCTCTCTTGGACTTGGAGTGTTGCTGGGGAAAATATATGCCAAGAAACCCCCATCGTGCCTGCAGGCACAGAGTGGGCATGTCCTCAAGTCCTTTGCCTCAACCCTGTAGCCCCAGTCCTCACTTGGGGCTTGTCGCGTGTCCCCTGGCTCTGGGAAGTGTTCTCGCATAGATGCTCGGGCCTAAGAGGGCCCAAAGACGAACCACGAGGGCTTCAAGAGGTCTCCAAGACGGTCCAAGAGGGATCCGAGTCGCCGAAAGATCGTTCAAAGAGGTCCAGATAGCCCCAACATGGACTAGGCGCCCCAAGAGGCCTCCAAGAGGCCTCCAAAGAGGCAAACAGAATTGATGTTCAAATGGCTTTTGAAGAAATTTGGCGTTCTCGCCTATTCTGCTCCCCGACGCTCCAAGACAGCCCTCAAGACCACCCCACAACGGCCCGAGAGGCCTTCAAGAGGGCTACAAGATGGCCTAAGAGCGCCCCAGGACAGCCTAAGAACGACCCAAGACGGCCCAAAACGGAACCCAAGAAAAGGAACACGGATTGAAAATCCCAGCCTTCCGCCCCAAGAGGCGCCCAGCAGGCCCTAAAAGGCGCCCAGGAGGCGCCCCCTAAGACGCCCCCAAGAGGCCCCAAGAGGCCCCCAAGAGGACCAACAGAGGCCCCAAAACGGCACTGAAAAAGGCACCCAAGAGGCTTCCAAACTGCCCCCGAGATGCCCCGAGAGGCTCTCCACGAGATCCCAACGAACATCCAATAGGTTCCATACCCACAACCCAGGCACGGTGGCGGGATGGGACGAAGGCCATTTGATACTCGGATCCATGCGATGTGAATGCTACGTTGCAGTCTTCCTGAAGGCGCCACAGGTTCGCCGACTCCGACTACGCCCCGCACGTGCTGCGTATAAACATTGCCCCAAGCGGGCAATTCGAAATGTGCAGCCCACTCGCGCCCCAGGGCGGCGAGCGCTCAGCGGCTGCACGCAGCGTGAAGCACGTGGTTGATGCGCGCGTCGGTGACGACGGCTGGCAGGTGGAAGCCGCTGCCGAGGCACTGGTACTGCGCGGGGAGGGGGTCGTACAGGCTCAGCGCGTCCACGTAGCGGGCGGAGGCCTCCAGGCCCAGCTCGGCTGCCTTCCTCCACAGCACACTCCTCTGGAGCCTCGCGAGGTCCGCCATCCTGGGAGTGGGAGGAGGCCAGTTGCACGACTACGCCGATCCTGGCCAGGCTCATCCTGAGCCCAAGATCGGTGTATATGCTCGCCTGGCTGCTTGGGCAGGAAGGCGTATGCACCGATCCTGAGCCCAGCACCGGCCTGGCCAGGACTGGTGTATAGTTGGTGCCCTCCGACATCCTGCTGGTGCAAGGCACGCCCCCGGCCTTGCAAAACAGCGCCGGGCCCTGCGGGCACGCCGTGTTGCCCAACACCATCAACCTGGTGCTCACCTGGCCCACCCCCAATTGTCCCTGCTCGATCAGGCCCCCTAACTCGTGCTCCAGGAAATTGGCGAACATCTCGGCGTATCTGTCGTTGTCGATCCATCCAGTCAAGCTATTCTTGAACTCATACACTTCCCACGGGCCGGAATTGATCAGCAGAAGGTCTGGAACGGCGTTCAGCTGCAGGTTCGGAAACTCCTGCTTGTTCTGGAAAACGGCCAGCGTCTCTTTCAATGATGGCCATAAAGACATCTTTGTGACCCAATTGAACGTGACAGAGGTGCCCGACTCGGGAATGTGCGCGGCCAAATGACACGCCAGTTCCTGAGCGTCCGTCGCATGATTGCACTTGTCGATGTTCTTTGTGTGCAGGTCGTACGACCAATCATGGGTCGGGAAGGTGGGGTCATCTATGCCCCCGGCGAGGAAATCCACCATCGCAGAGAAAGCGATGCGCGTAGTGGAGTCTCCCCAAAACGCAATCCATCGCCCCTGCAGGCACTGCTGCGCAGACTCCCGGGTGGCCCACGAGTACTGGTGCAGCGAGGCGTTGGCGCTCGCGCGCGAGGCGAAGCGGTACTCGTGACACCGCGACCGATCCGCTCCGCCAGCGACGCCTCTGGCGTGCGGCGTCTCCATCACGTCCTGAGTGAGAGGCCTGCCCTCCAGCTTGCCGTCCTACTGAGCATTGTTTAATCGATCCGCATCACCACTGGCATGGCCTGTGCCCCACTGGCCGACTTCCGCCCCCTAGGCGAAAATCAAAATGTCGAGATGTGTGTATATATAGGTATATGCACACCCGAAACGGTGCTTGCATTTAGGGGTGTTTTCTAATGAGCTGGGCCTGTGCGTCAATCTGGCGATTATGTAGACGCCGTCGCAGCCCCGTCGCCGCCCCCTCGGCGGCCATCGTTTGGGTCTGTGCGTCGGCTTGGCGGCTATGGCGCGGCCGTCGCCGTCCCGTCACCGCCCCGTCGCTTTGCACTACGTAAATTTCGCCTCGTAAAATGCACAACAACATTGCACCATGCAGATAGCACCACCCGGAGTATATACCATCATTTGCAACACATCAAGTGGTCCACGCAGATCGCACAACATAGACTGAACCGCAAAACTTGCAAAACATAGATTGCACCACGTAGATCGCAGAACATTGGCTTCGCCACATAAATTGCAAAACGTACGTTGCACCAAGTAGAATGCATAACATAAGCCCTCACCAAACAATAGGAGCGACCTCCCCCTCCCCGACCTGAGCGGCCCACTAGTTCGATTTGTAACTTACATACGATTCAGCCCCACCGTCCATCCGAAATAATAACCCGTATTGCCAATAGTCTTTTGGACGAAAAAAAGAAAAAAAAAAAAAACGACGCACACAGCCGCGCGTTTCCGCGCGCATGCCGGAATCTTCCCAGCAAGCTTACGGTTTCGTAAAGATGTCGAAGCCGAGGGCCGCGACAACATATGAGAAAATACACACACACGCTTCGCAACAACGGCTGTCAAACAAAACCTGCGCCCGCGCTCTTGCGATTTTTTTTTAGAACACCATGTTTGCCATGTTTAACGTGATGATAACATGCAAGCAACTGGGCGTCCCGCGCGCGCATGTCGACATCGTTCGAGCGCCGTTGCGCGCGTCCTGTCGCATGAAACCTTTGCTAACCATATGACGAAATTAACGCCCACGGGTCGTCGCGAGCGCATGCTGGAACCCTTCAACATCAAATGTCCGAATCACGCAGCGAAGCATACGGTTTTGCAATATCATCCCTGGAAAATTCTGGAGCTCGCGGTCATGCGGATTCTTTCGCACATCATTGGTTGTCCAACATGTTCATCAAATGATGCCACGCAGGCCTTTCGCGCCGCATGTCGAACTCTTTCGGGCGCCATGCGCGCGTGCTGGGGGTGGGGGGTGGGATCCGCGCGTGTGTCGCGCGCGTCGGCCGCGCGCGCATGTCGAACTCCTTCAGAAACCTTCATCGCCGACGCGAGGACATCGTCATCGTCATCGACGCGCGAGGATCAACATCGGCGCCGTCATTGGCCTTGCCATTTCATCGCCACCATCGCCACCATCATCGCTGCTGCTATAATCGCGTATACCGTTGTCGGAATCACCATGGTACCGAGCCCGCCCAAGTTACCGACTCGCATTGAAGTGCCCGCACGGAAGTGCCCGGCGGTCAACGCCACCGCGGCCGCGTCGGCCGCGCCAAGCTAGCTGGCGGGTACGCGCGCGAGCATGAGCGGGCTAGTGCGGCCGCAGAGATGCACCAGCCAACGCAATCGCCGCCGCGTGGGTTTGGCAAAACAACTTGCGGTCGGGCGGGCAGGACGTTTGCAAGAGCATGGGACTTGCCATCTTTCTATGTACAAGGAAATGCGCCACATAGGTGACACCACATAGACTGGCCCACAGTGATAGCACCATATACAATGCTACGAGGAGAATCGTAGCTCACCATCATGGGTAGCATCATCATCACATGGAAGTGCTCGATGACGATGGCCGCCCGCTCCCCGCCCGTGCTGCCCCTGACCCAAAACGAATGGCACGCGCTGAACTCATGGCCCGTCGACGCCGCACCACTGGCGAACTCCATTGCCGGCCTCGACTTCTGTCGAGGAAACCTTCCGTCTGGAGTGACTGCTGCAGATGTTTGACCGCTTCTCGCAGCGTGATCGACTTTGCGTGAGCGCTGGGGTCGAGGCACAAGGGGGGCGTGCGACCGTCACGGCGCTCGCCGCGCATCTTCTCCTGGGCCCACCTTAACTTGCCCCCGGGCGCCACTCGCTCGGCAACAGTCCACTCCTGACCGCGCGTGATCAAACATAGTGCGCCACGGGGCACCGCCGTCGCCTCCGCGCAACAGAAAATAACCCCCCACCTCCTCGCCGCAGAACGAGCGGGACGGGGCAGGATAAAGATGCGCCGAGCCAGCCCATGCCGCGGGCGCCCCCAGCACGGGGGCCGCAGGACTGTCGAAGATCTCGGCGAGCGCTCTGCCCTCAACCCTGATCCCAGCCAGGCCCTGAATATCGATTGGGTTGTCAAACGCATAGACGTGCAGGCCCAGTTGGAATGGGGCGTTCCTCTGCAACGGGACCAGTGCGACCGCCGCCGCCCGATCTGCCATGTCCACGGCCTTCGCCGAAAAATCTGGCGTTGACCACATCCAGCAAGCACCCTCCAACTATGTGATCAGCAAACGATGATGGTGAAGAATGGCGTCGTTAAGGTAACGCGCGCCGCGAAGATCTGGCGCTCTGGATTTTCCAGGAACTCGTCGTGCCCGCTCAGCTCGCAGACGGCGACTATCCGGCGTCTCCACGTCCACGAGCGCGGGCACTCCACCCACGGTCCTTCGCGAGACTTGGCGCCGACACAGACGCGCCGCGCCGCCGAAGATCGCGCAGGCGAACACGACGCCCACCACCGCGCCGAGTCGGAACAACCGAAAACCCACGACCCAGCAGTCACGCGGCTTCTCCTGCACCCCTGACGGGGCCTCGCGAGCGGCACAGGGGGGCGACGCCGACGTGGCCGAAGCAACGATGTGCGCGATGCGATCCTCAGCTTCTCCAGTGCTGACAGGCAAGACGCGGGCAGCGTCTCGCGCGGGGCAACCGCTGGACGCGGCAGAAATGGGCAACGGCACGTCGGACGAGCCGGTTATCGCGAGCACGGCCAGGCACGTGAGAGTTGGGCAGTCTGGGGCCTTTTGGCGACCCCACTTGAAGCGATGGCCAAGATTGATGAAAGCGTTCTAACAAGACCAGCCACCTGAACAGCGTACTCCACCGTTCCCAAACCAACGACCGACTACAGAGCAATCGTTATGGTCAACCTCCACAGCTCACTGAAGAACATATGCATCGCACAACTACTGTGCGCATGCAACATGAATTCTAAACACAAAACCAGGGCTATCGCTTGTGCGATATTTTGACAAAGCCATCGGTTACATCGTATCAAATGCTACCACGCGTGCCTGTCGCGCGCGCATGTCGAAATCACTCGAAAGCCTTGCGCGCGCTGTCGCAATGGCGGACTCCTTTAAAACAGCGGGGCGTCACGCAAGGATGTCCACATCGAGTGTTTTTTGTTTATATATGTATTAAGTATAAATATATAACCATGGCTTCGCAGCAGGTGAATGTTTGATGAAACGCAGGGCTTCAAACTTTTCATCGACCGCTACCAAACGTGCCGGTCGCGCGCATGTCGAAATCACCCGAAATCGTTGCGCGAATGCTGTCGCTATATTCCGACGCGCAAGGGGAAACGAAGTGCACGGGCGCCCGTTGTCGCGCACGCATGGCGGAATGCAGAAACAAAACAAACATGAAACGAAGAGCCGCAAGGTTTCCAACATCGTGCGCACCGGGTCTTCTAACCATTTTCCAAACACAAGAAAGCTCGCGTTCGCGCGGATGCGAAACCTTAACAAACCAGCGGTCTTTCAAACGGGCCTGTCGCGCGCGCATGTCGGCATGATTCGTACGGTTTTGCGCGCTTGCTGTTCGGGTTTACCACCCCTGTGAAATAGCGTCACGCGGGCCACCCGCGCGACTAGGCCGCGCGCGCATGTTGAAATCCTTATTAAAGCGTGCACCAGCGCCACAAGGATACTATCATTGTCACCGGCGTGATCAAAATCGGGGCCGTCATTGTCCTTTTTTCGTCGTCGTGGTGATCATCGTCACCAACACCTCCAACTATCATCATCGTGCCTGCCGTTGCTGGCGTCGCGACGAAACCGCGCCCGCCCGAACCGCCGACTCGCACTGAAGAGCCCGCGCGTTAGAGTGGCCTGCGAAGCGTGATGGGAAGTGCCAAGCGGTCTGCGCCACCACGGCCGCGTCGATCGCGCCAGACGAACTGGCCACACTGCACGCAAGCTTGCGCGCGCTGACGCGGCCGCACCGATTCACCGTCAGCGCCCGGTAGTCATGGCCATCGCCACCGCACGAGATTTGCAAACCAAGTTGCGGGTGGGCGAGTGGGACGGTTGCGCGAGCAATGGAGCTGACAACCTCGAGTTCGGCAGGTTGACTTTCACCACATAGGTTGCACCACACGCGTAGCACCACATCGAGTGCACAATGCCGATCGCAAAACATAATCTGCACAGCAAAACTTGTACACAATGGATTGCACAACGTATAGCCCACTGCTTATGCTGCACCACCTGGCTTGCACCATCATAGCATCGCATAGTTTGGGCTACATCGGTTGCACCGCAGCGATTGTCCCACATACATTGCACCACGTTAGTCGCACAGCTAATACTGCAGAGCAAAGACACACATAGATTGCACAACATCGAGTGCACACCATAGAGTGCGCAACATCGGTTACACCAAATAGATTGCACAACCTAGATTGCACAGCGTAGAATGAATCACATAGACTGTCCACGTATATTCAACAACCCAGCCAGCACCACAGATGTTGCACCACATAGGACACACGCCATGTATTATAGGACATCTGTTGCGCACAACATAGATTGCATAACAGTGATGTATCGACCTAGACTGCAATACAAACATCGCACAATACATGTATATGTATATATAGCCAGAAGCACACTGCGTGAAGCCCGCACTGGCTATCCCATATATATATATATATACACTAGAACCACGCGCGCGCTTCGCGCGCGCTTAGGTTCTGTCGAGTCACAGACCCAGGAATCGTTGCGAGAAGAAATTGGTGACGCGAAGCGTCTTGGGGGCGTCCTTGGACGTCTGGGGTCTCCTGGGGCCTCTTGAGGGGCCTCCTGGGGGCCTCCTGGCGGCCTCTTGGGGCGGAAGGCTCGAGCTTGCGGTTCGTGGTCCCCCTCTGGGCCCCCTCTTGGGCCCGTCTTGGGGCCCTCTTGGGCCATCTTGGGCGCCTCTTGGGCCGTCTTGGGGCCCTCTTGGGCTGTCCTGGGGCCCTCTTGGAAGCTTCTTGGGCCGTCTTGGGGCGGTCTTGGGCGCCTCTTGGGCCGTCCTGTAACGTCGGAAAGCCCAAAAGACAACTTTGTTGAAAATGTACGTTTTACGAAGGGAATGGGCCAATTTTTGCGTCTAGGGGCCCTCTTGGGACGCATGTTGGAGGCTTCTTGGGGCCTCTTGGGGGCGTCCTTGGACGTCTGGGGTCTCCTGGGGCCTCTTGAGGGGCCTCCTGGGGGCCTCCTGGCGGCCTCTTGGGGCGGAAGGCTCGAGCTTGCGGTTCGTGGTCCCCCTCTGGGCCCCCTCTTGGGCCCGTCTTGGGGCCCTCTTGGGCCATCTTGGGCGCCTCTTGGGCCGTCTTGGGGCCCTCTTGGGCTGTCCTGGGGCCCTCTTGGAAGCTTCTTGGGCCGTCTTGGGGCGGTCTTGGGCGCCTCTTGGGCCGTCCTGTAACGTCGGAAAGCCCAAAAGGCGACTTTGTTAAAAATGTACGTTTTACGAAGGGAATGGGCCAATTTTGCGTCTAGGGGCCCTCTTGGGACGCATGTTGGAGGCTTCTTGGGGCCTCTTGGGGGCGTCCTTGGACGTCTGGGGTCTCCTGGGGCCTCTTGAGGGGCCTCCTGGGGGCCTCCTGGCGGCCTCTTGGGGCGGAAGGCTCGAGCTTGCGGTTCGTGGTCCCCCTCTGGGCCCCCTCTTGGGCCCGTCTTGGGGCCCTCTTGGGCCATCTTGGGCGCCTCTTGGGCCGTCTTGGGGCCCTCTTGGGCTGTCCTGGGGCCCTCTTGGAAGCTTCTTGGGCCGTCTTGGGGCGGTCTTGGGCGCCTCTTGGGCCGTCCTGTAACGTCGGAAAGCCCAAAAGACAACTTTGTTGAAAATGTACGTTTTACGAAGGGAATGGGGCAATTTTTGCGTCTAGGGGCCCTCTTGGGACGCATGTTGGAGGCTTCTTGGGGCCTCTTGGGGGCGTCCTTGGACGTCTGGAGGCCATCTTCAGCATCTCGGAGCCCTCTTGGAGGCCTCTTGGAAGTTTCTTGGGCCGTCTTGGGCGCTTCTTGGGCCGTCTTGTCTGACTGGGGAGGCCTCCGGCAAGCCCCGACGAGCCTCCGGGCCCCCCGGGGTGCACATTTGCGGTCGAGGTCCCGGCCCCGGGCCCCCGGACCAGGTGCGCCGATATATGTATATATGAATTTATGTATGATGTATGCATGTATGTATGCATGCATGTATGTATGCAGCATGTAAGTATGCATGAACATATGCATGCATGTGTGTATGCATGTATGCATGTATGCATGTGTGTATGTATGTATGCATGTGTACATGGTTGTATGTATGCATGTATGTATGCATGTAGGTATGTTTGTGTGTGTGTATGTATGTATGCATGTATGGATGTATGTATGTATATATGCATGTATGTATGTATGAGTGGATGTGCGAATGATTGGATGTGTGTATGTGTGTATGTATGTGTAGGCGTGTCTGAATGTAAACAGGTATGTATGTATGTCCGAATGGATGTATGCATGTGTGTATGCATGTGTTGCTCACTTCGGGATTCGCCAAGCTATCCCCACCTTGGGGGAGCGGGCTAGCGGGGCTGAGATACCATGACCCACTGGGGACGGGATGGGGATCGGTCAAGCAATGCTGGCCTTGGGCAGCTTCGGCCCCAAGTAGTGACCGCAAGTAGCGTACCTCGAGGCTGGCCGAACGGGGTCCGAGCGGACAATGTCGAAGGACGGCTGCGCATCCCAGACATCCAACGTCATGACTTTTGCTCATCACGTAGACCCCCAAAGACCCCGACACATTCCCCTGGACCTGCTCTTCATCCTGAATCAATGTGTGACAATTCCGGCCACCAGTAAAGGCCAGCCAAGGCTGACCATTGTCAAACAGCTCCCGCGCTTCTAGTCCATGACACGAGAAAACATGCTTGGATCGCCGCGGGGGGTGCTAAGAAGAGAGGGGTTGACAAGTGGATGCTAAAGATGGTTGCGTCTGGCCTAGTCTAGCATATACTTGAACTGCGAATGCCCCAAGTGGCTCAACGGTGCGCGGGTCCAGGGTACATTGGCGGAGCCCGCTCAGCGGAGCGATCTACTCACCATAAGCTACTTAGGGCACTTCCGGTCCACTTCTAGGTCTGGCTAGGCCCGATCTGACCCACCTCAGCAACCGCCACGGCCACTCCGGTTACGGCATTCCCGGTCCACTCCTATTCCTCCTCAGCAACCCCCGCGGCGATCCAAGTGTCGGCACCGAGCCTGGGGGGATGTGATAAGGGGCAGGAGAGCCCAGAATCGAATTGAGAAGTCGGACGGCGATCGACACGAATCGGATCGGCAGAGATCGGCAACCAAGTCGGGAGAAGACGAATCGGCGGAAGTCGGCAGGCTAGTAGGCATCCAGTAAGAAGTCGGAGCCCAAATCGGCATCCCAAATCGAATCGAATCGGAATTGGAGGGCATCGAAATCGAAGCCGAATCGCATCGGAGGAATCGAAACGAGCCCTGCAAGGGGCGAGCCTTCTCAGAAGACTCGAGCGCCCCTCGGCCTTCGGAGGGGTCCTCTGAGCCTTCCCAGAGGACGCGGAACGCTTTTCAGAAGGCGCGAGAGACTCCGAGGGGGCCCCGTCGCCTTCTGAGAAGGCCGCCCCCTCCTCGTTCCGCCTCCCTCGCTCGCCGCCGAAAAATGCACGCAAGCACTGAGAAGCGTCGATCCCCAAAAAAGATGTGCGAAAAGATGGGGAACGGATGGAGGGAGCACGAGACTCCAGAAAAGCTGGAGCATACCCGGAGAATCCTGGGAGAGAATCCGCCGAAAATGGGTTCGAAGGGGCGTCTCCGCAGCGCCGGTGCCTGGGCGACGCGACGCCTGCACGCCTGCAAAGGGAACGTCGGGCTCCCGGCTCGCGCGCCTCGGGAGCGGCCAAGAGGGGGGTCTCCAAGAGGGGGGGGTGCAAATCATGACTGGCGGCACGTGCGCGGCCCAGCGGGGGGGCCAGGAACGTAATGAAATAAGAAGGGGCGCCATGGAATCGGGGGAAATATCATGGCCCCCGCCATGCTATCCCCCCCCTAGTCATCACCCCTCTCTTAGGAGGAGGAGGAGGAGGAGGAGGAGGAGGAGGAGGAGGAGGAGGAGGAGGAAGAGGAGCCGGAGGAGCGAACGACGCGCTGAAGGGGGCGCGTGTCCGCGGGTTAGATGCGCAGCGGGCCCGCGCCGCCCACGAGGCACCGTGGCAACCTCAGGACGCGGCGAACGGCTGCGACCACCTCCTTGTGGTACTTGAGCTCGTCGTGGATGGCTGGCGTACCCAGCTCGGTGCGCACCCGCATGATGTTGTACGTGCGGAAGGCCACGGCCATGCGTGTGATGGTGTGCCTCGGCATGTCGTCGATGTTGTTGCTCTCGTGGAGCCCGGGCCGTGTGAGGACATCACCAGCAGGTTGTCCCCGAGGTTGAGCCAGTAGCGCCCACATTCGTGGGCATGGAATGTAGTGGCTGATGTCGTCCGTGTTCTTGTTCTGCGAGTCTCTGTCGCAGCCGAACAAGCAGTTCTTCTTGTGGGGATTGACGTGCATGCGGTGCGATGTCGTCCACGCCCCAGACAAGGTCTTGACCACGGGCCAGAAGAGCGAGGCCGTGGAGTTCGTCAAGTGCGGCCGCAGGTCGCGCCAGCCGTGCTCAACACTCGCAGGGAGAGCAGCTCGGCCAAGAAGTCCGTCACGGTCGGATGTATCGGAGTCCATCATGATGTCATTGGCGGAGTAGATGTGAGATGTGGAGGTGGCCGTAGTGGTAGACTGAGTGCCATCGTCTTCCTGCGGGAGGTTCGGGTTGGTGGCACGTTCCCGTTCGATCCAGCGACGACGGGCGCGGTGTTCAGCAGCTTCATCAGCAAATTCTCGACCCAGGGCGTCCAAATCCATGGCTGGGTGGAGAGCTTCGGCATGACGAAGAGCTTGCTGTAGGGCGTCCACGCTTGCCTTGAGTTCGCCTTGGAGGCGTTCAGCACCGTCAGCACGGCCTTTGAGTTCGGTGATATCCCTCTCGGCGGACTCCTGGCGGATGCTGAGCTGGTCGGTGAGTTTCGTGATGTTGGCCAGGAACTCAGCTTGTGCAGCAGCTGCGACTTGCTTGGATGTGGCTTCGAAGGCGGCGGCGGCTTTGTCGACCTGGGTCTGGAGGAGATCGGTGAGCACCTTCCGCTGGTGTGCGGGGAGGTCAATCGCGGCAAGCTTCTGAGCTCCAGCGGCCCAGGGGTCGGCAGCAGCAGTGTCCTTGCCCTTGCACTTGTCGGAGTAGTCGGCCCAAGAGTCGGCGGAGCTGGCGACACCAGGCACACCCATCGCGGGGCTATCGGACGAGGGGCCAGCGCTGGCGGCGAGAGATATGTAAGCTGCGCCTCAGCAGCAAAGGATATGGAAATGCTCAACGCCGCGGGCACGGCGAAGGCGGAAAGCAGCGGTCCTAGCAGTTCCCGGACCAGGGGTCTCCGTGCTCTGCCACGGGGCACAAACATCTTGAGCCAAAATGGCTACGGAAGGAGGAGGCGGAGGAGGAGGAGGAGGAGGAGGAGGAGGAGGAGGAGGAGGAGGAGGGGGGAGGAGGAGGAGGGGGGAGGAGGGGAGGAGGGGAGGAGGAGGAGGAGGAGGAGGTGGCCCCCTAGTCATCACCCCCCTCTTTGCCGCACTCGAGCGCCGCAGAGCGCCGGCGGGAGACCGGAGAGCCTGCGAGGGAGCCTGGAGAGGCGCGAGCCTCCCGTGGAGCCCCCCGCCGTCTCCGGGCGCGCCACAGGGGGCGTTCCAAAAAGGCCCTGCCTGCGATGATAAAAAAGGAGCCCCCCTCCCCCTCCGCCTCCTCTGCCTCCTCCGCCTCCTCCTCCTCCTCCTCCTCCTCCTCCGCCTCCTCCTCCTCCTCCTCCTCCTCCCCTCCTCCCTCCTCCCCCCTCCTCCTCCGCCTCCCCTCCTCCTCCTCCTCCTCCTCCTCCTCCTCCTCCTCCTCCTCCTCCTCCTCCTCCTCCTCCTTCTCCTCCTCCTCATCTCTTCCGCCGCGGAAGGCGGCGGCAAGGAGGCGGAAGCTCTCGGCGGGATTAGATAGAGGCCGCCTCCGCGGGCGGAAGCCGTCGGAAGGGCGGCGGAAGGGCGGCGGAAATTTCCAAAGACGCTTCCCAAGAGATTAATATTTTCTGGATTCAGGGTCTCCGGAATCGCCCGCCTGGGTGGCCACGGCGTGCGAGCCCGGTCGAGGTCCGGTGCCCGACGCCGGCGGCGAGCGAGGGGGGGAGTGAGAAGGTAGAGGCATCCTAGGTGGGGTCCGAGTGGATGTGGTCGCAGGATCGCGCCGCATCGGTGAGGCATCGGCGATGTATAGGCGGTGCATCGGCGACGCATCGGTGATGCATCGGCGAGGCATCGGCGGCGTCGGCGTGGGGAAACACGGGCTCCACATCGAGCCGCATCGTCGATGCATCGCCGATGCGGCGCGATCCTCCGACCCCATCTGCTCCGATCCCATCTTGCAGGCCCAGCGGAGGAGAAGGCCTTCTCGGACGGCGGCGCTTCGCAGGAGGCCTTGGGCCTTCTGGGAGCTGGTCTTCGTCTTCGGAGGATGCTCAGGGAACTTCCCAGAAGGCTGGGGGACGTCCGAGCCTTCTGAAAAGGCCCGCCCCTTTCTCACCTTCCCCCGGGCTCGCCGCCGATGATAGGTGGCGAGCGAACCCTACCGCCGCCTCCCATCGATTCTCCGCAAGTGGACGAAGTCCACGGCGACGCCGACAGCGATTCCTTTTCAGGATGGACAGGAACTGCTGTCGGTCTTCCCCATCCCTTCTGTACCCATTTCGATCGTACCGACCCGACGGCTAGGTGGCGACATCCGAACATGACCCTCAGCAACTATCGACTCTTCTAAATCGGTGGGAGGCGGGGGGGGGTAGGGCTCCGATTTCGCCACCGTTCGACGAATCTAGAACCCTACCCGCGCAACACGTCGAGTTGCCTGAGTCGTTGATCGGCGAGAGTGGGGTTCGGATCTCGCCGCCAATCTGGGGGATTGATGTCCTGGGACGCCAGGGGGGTGGTGGAGAGGGGGCATGTTCGGGCACCCTTCGAGCAAATTGCATCCACCTCCACAGCCTCCCGAGGGACAAGAAGATCGGTTCCCAAGGCGTTGGATATGGATAAGCTCCAGTCTCGAGGTGAAGAGGGGGAGACACAAGCGCGTAAACGTACACTTGCGCCGTCAGGGGAAGTCCAGAACAGGTACAAGAAATCCGCGCGGAGCTCCAGATCCCTCTGTTGATGCATGTGTTTCTTCTTCGCCGAGAGGAGGCGCTGGGACCAAGGACCATCACTTCATCCCGAGTCGCTGTTTGACAATCCCTTGGCCCTGACGATGAAAAAAACTCAAGACCCGTTTCCCTCAGGACCCGTATGCCTCTTCGTCGAAATGGAGGCACCAGGACCGCATTCCGAGTGCATCCCAGAGGGGTCGTTTATCGACGTCGCAAAGAGCACGTCGATTGGCGAAACCGACTACGGACTCCACTGGCACACTCGAATGCCAATTTCCGCAATCGACTTGTCTGGGGGTGCGTTCTGTCAATGCCCGATCCCGCAAGACTGACGCTGCAACAACATTCGAGCAGGGATATTGACCGTCCAGACATTCCTATAGTCCTACCACGAAATGCTCTTAGAACCCACAGCTGTTCTAAGAACGAAAGCAATGTTCTTAGAACATAAGCCCGATGTGTGAAACCAAGACAGTCCCAACCAGAAATGGTCTAAGACTATTTCGTGGAAGCCACAAAAAGGTTCTCAGAACATTGCTTGGTAGGGCTATAGGCGACCCAGGACGCTTCGCCACCGCTCGAAACATTACAACATCGCGAAGCATCCAGACCCGAGCCCTCGACCCCATGTGTTCTGCCATTCGTCGAGACGGATCCCTCTCGGGTCGGGCGAAAGGGGGGGATAGCAAAGGTGGGGGTTGAGAATCCGCTCGCGTATAGCTGATGTTCCCGGCGCCTCCCGGCGCCGGAGGCGGCTATGTATCAAGGAATGGGCCCCTCGGCGGGGCCGAAACCAGCTGCATGCAGCAAATTTCGTACCCCCCCCTTTCCCAATCCCCCCCTTTCGCCCGGCCCGATAGGAGGGAGAAGGAGGGGGGAGGAGAAGGAGGGAGGAGGAGGGGGAAGGAGGAGGAGGAGGAGGAGGAGGAGGAGGAGGAGGAGGGAGGAGGAGGAGGAGGAGGAGCGTTCGAGCACCTCGCAGCGCCAGGATCGGAAGGTTCCTTCTAGTAGTCTTAGGTCGGGCGTCCCCCCCCCTACAGGGGGGATCTTCGACGAAAAAAGAAAATAATCGCCCCTTTTTTCGAACAACTCGCAACGCCAGGATCTGAAGGTTTCTTTTCGTAGTCTTAAGTCGGGCGTGCCCCCCCCCTACAGGGGGGATCTTCGACGAAAATAGAAAATACTCAAAAATATTCTAAAGTGGTCAAGCAATACCAACAAAAATATCCCCGTACTATTTTCTTTTTGACTATTTTTGGATATTCCCCCTGTAGAGGGACAGGCCCGACTCAATAGTAGTCCCCAAACGTGTTGGTGACAACACCCGGCGGTGAGTCTCGGGCGATGATTTGGTGTCACCACCCGGTTTGGGGACTCGTTTGGTGTTTCGAGGATGTCCCGAACGCTGGCAAGTCCAGGAATCAGAAGACCCGCCGGTGACCCCGTGTGCCAAAACCTGGCGGCGACTTTTCGGGGAGTCCAGGTCACCACCTGATATCTCACCATTGCCGAGACGGATCGATCTGTGAGTGTCCTCTCAGCCCCCCACCGGGCGAAAACGCTCCTTTTTTGAAAAACTCGCAACGCCAGGATCGTTGGGGCGACCAAGTGGGGGGCGTCCAAGAGGGGGGGGCGCAAATCGTGGCCAGCGGCATGTGCGCGGCCCCCGGGGGGGGGGGGGCTCGGGACGCATGGAACTAGGAAGAGGCGCCACGAAAACTGGGGAAATATCCTGGCCTCGCCATGATATCCGCCCCCCCCCCCCCCCCTTGTCATCACCCCCCTCTTGGCCGCCCCCGAGATCTGAACCCGGACATGCGACGTCCTCACTTTTTCAGGACGGCGTCCTTGGAAGTCCCGACCCTTTCCCCGGGGCCGTTTTTCCTCCCGAACCGTTTTTTAACAGCCCTGGGGCCAGGCGAGGGCCCCCAGGGGCCGACAATGGTGAAAAACTTGCCGTCCTGATTTTTGTTTTATTACTTCGACGCGATCATGTCGGGGTCCCCTGCGCCTTCCCCCCCCCCCTCCTCCCTCCTCCTCCTCCTCCTCCTCCTCCTCCTCCTCCTCCTCCTCCTCCTCCTCCTGCTCCTCCTCCTCCTCCTCCCCCTCCTCGCCCTCCGAGATCTGGAGGTGTTTTCTTCGTCGTCGAGCGCAGGGCGCCGGGACAGGGACCCGAGCGAGTCGGCCGGGAACGGCCCCTCCGCGCCCTCCCAGTGCCCGGACGTGGCCACGTCCAGCTCCGCCTCGGTTGGCAGCTCGTGGGAGCCTCCCTTGCGATGCTGCTGGCTGGTTTGATGGGCCTGTTTTCTAACACGACCACCATATTGGAGGGTGAGGGGGTTCTCCTCCTCCTCCTCCTCCTCCTCCTCGTCCTCCTCCTCCAATTCCTCCACCTCCTCCCCCCTCCAACTTATGGTGGTGGTGGTGGTGGTGGTGGTGGTGGTGGAAAACAAGCCCATCATGGTTAGCGTCTTTTTCATTCGGCGTTTCGACATTGGGCGGAAAGGGGGGGGAGGGGGGGTCTCTTCGATGCTGCTGGCTGGTTCGTGTTTTTATATTCTCGGGGTCCACCAAAGGGGGGGGGACCCTGAGGGGGGGGTGAGTTCATTCTGCTGGTGCATCCAATTTCCGAAAAACGATGCCCCCCCCGCGCGCCCCGATTGTCGACGCCTCTCGGGTTCCGGCGGCGGGATGGAGACCTCGTTTTGCATAGTTTGTCTGCAGATTGATGCGCTAACGGACCGAACTCCCCCCCCCCCGTGGCACCCCCCGCTTTGCGAGGAGGTCCCGAGGGGGGGGGGGGAGCGGGGGTCTGGCTCCGGCCCTCTGCTTAGTGCGACTGTTTGCAAGAGTGCGTCCTCTTGGGGAGACTGTGCTCGAAACAGGCGCCAAAAACAGCCAAGATCTGATCCACAGGGGGGGGGGGAGGGGGGGGCGAGGGCCCGCGCCGATCTGCAAAAGAATTAATAAAACAGCGCTCACCTGCAGGGCTGGACCTGAGCGCTGTGGTTCGTGCTGTTGTTCGTGTTGATCCACCTGTTTTCCTGTGCACCTCCCTGCCAAAACGGAAAAAGCCACAACACACAGCCGAAATCCAGCAAAGCAGCGATTCGGTCCAGCCCTGGGCTCTCGCGAGAAAACGTCAAATCGACGCGAAGCCGACACTAATCGACGGTGGCCGACGCCAAACCGGAACCCTCTCATCGACTACCAGACGCTAGCGCACGCCAGTGCACTCTGAAGACGGGATTGCGGCATTGCGAGAAGGAGGAGAAGGAGGCGGAGGAGGAGGAGGAGGAGGAGGAGGAGGAGGAGGAGGAGGAGAGAAGAGGAGAAGGGAGCAGAAGAAGGAGCAGGAGGAAAAGGTGGAGCAGGATGAGGAAGGAGGAGGAGGATGAGGAAGGAGGAGGAGCAGGAGTAGGAGGAGCAGGAGGAGGAGGAGGAGGAGAAGGAGGAGGAGGAGGAGGAGGAGGAGGAGGA